GACGTAGCCTGTAAAGGCTACGAAACGTCAATAAATAAATAAAGTTTCGTGCATTAACCCGTAAAAAACTAGTTTTATTTAAAGGTAATTTACTTACAAAAATATTACAGAATTTGGTAAAATGTCTCAAATTTTCTTTGAAGATGCGGAATTTTGTGTACATTCACATATTTTTTGGGTAATTTACAATATTTATTTAAAAATCTAAATATTTCCTTTTTTTACAGAAAAAAATTGTAGCTGTAGCTAAGAAATGTATTTTTACATAAATATTTGCACTTATACATAACTGTTTTGGTGCCCATTGGACCTTCAAAATATATACCCTACTGCCAGTTGGACCTTATTGACAGTTTTGTTAAGCTGTACAGTCATGTAGAAAATGGCAGACAAAAATAAAATTAATAGTAGGTATTAAAAAGCCACTAACTAGGTGACCCCAGCAAAATTATTAGTTTATACAGGGTGTTACAAAAATACAAATAAAGCTTGAAGGGTGTTGAAGTACATCATATAAGGAATCTTCTCTAACTTTCTTAAAATATTTGCATGAAGTTTTCATTTTTATAAAAACAGTTATTTTTAATGATTAATAAAAATATCGATCATTTTAAGACACTCGTCACTAGTTCGAGGATCATTAAAAATAACTGTGTTTATAAAAGGTCAAAACTTCATGCAAATATTTTAAGAAAATTAGAGAAGACTCCTTATATGATGTACTTCAACGCCCTTCAAACTTTATTTGTATTTTTTAACACCCTGTATAGATGCTTAGAAAATGCCAACGATTGACTTGTGTTTAAGTAATATAATACACATAACCGGCCGAGTGAAAATTTTCTAGCAAATGCATTTATCTACAGGGCTCTGAGCTGGGAGACAATATAATTAGATTAAAATCAGTTATTCAACAAACTGACAGATTGTTAACTTATCTGGGAGGTTTGAGTATACAATGGTTGATGTTAAACAAAGTATGACTTTCTTCATTGCTCGAAATCCTTGTAAAAAGTATAATAAGTAGTATAATAAAAGTATAAGTAAGTGTCGCCGCACACGGGCCACCGACCACAACCACAAAACGCTGCCACCGGCATATTTCTTGTAGTTTTCATACATTTTATATGGACTCGCCACACACGGTACGCCGGTGGCCGCCACACGCTACTCGCTTCTTGTGGCCCGCACCGGCCACTTAATGCGCCGATACAAAACGCCGCCACACGTCACTCGCGCGATTCCCCACCCCTCTCTCCCTTACCTTAGCCGGCCGCTTCAGCCACTTTAGTAGCCGCTTCTAGCTTCTCGTGGCGGCGTTTGTGGCTGTGGCGTGTGGCCCGTGTGCGGCGACACTAAGTGTCGCAGAAGAAGCGGCTACTAAAGTGGCTGAAGCGCGCGACAGCGGCCGACTAAGTTAAGGGAGAGAGGGGTGGGGAATCGCGCGAGTGACGTGTGGCGGCGTTTTGTATCGGCGCATTAAGTGGCCGGTGCGGGTCACAAGAAGCGAGCAACGACGATTTGTAGCGTGTGGCGGCCACCGGCGTACCGTGTGTGGCGAGTCCATATAAAATGTATGAAAACTACAAGAAATATGCCGGTGGCGGCGTTTTGTGGTTGTGGTCGGTGGCCCGTGTGCGGCGAGACTAAGTGTAGGCACCGTTGATAGTTTTATATTAAAAAAAATTGCAGACAACAAGGATCCAATAATATATTATGAGATAGTAGTAAAATATATATATATATATATATATATATATATATATATATATATATAAAACTCAAAGGTGACTGACTGTCTGACATAGTGATCTATCAACGCATAGCCCAAACCACTGGACGGATCGGGCTGAAATCTGGCATGCAGGTAGATGTTATGACGTAGGCATCCGCTAAGAAAGCATTTTGATCAATTCTACACCCAAGGGGATAAAATAAGGAATGAAAGTTTGTATGAAACTTTGTCAATTTTAAACCGATCGGGCTGAGACTTTGCATGCAGGTATAAGAAGAATCATAGATGAATGTCATTGTGTATAATACAAGCCCGAGAACAAAAACTGTAGTCTACACTTCAGCTCTACACCGAAGCGAAGCGAGGGCGGGCCGCTAGTTCATTTATAAAATGTATCATTATGGGCAATCAAACTTGCCGGTATTGCCATTAGGGTACTGTTGCGACTGCTCCGCACTCTGTTTAGTAAGAAAGCTGTTTGCTGCCCATGATTCTCATAAACTCATCAGTACGAGACTCGTCTAACAAACCCGGGGGCCATTCGTCTAACAGAAATGCTTACGATTTCATTTTGTTATTTCTAGCCGCCTGAGGTTTTCAAATGCCTCGCGCACTTTTTATTCTTTTGCATTGGTAATAACAATATTTAAAAAAATGAGCGTGAGGTATTTGAAAACCTTCAGCGGTCAGAAACAACAAAATAAAATCGAAAGCGTTAGCGTTTTTCAAAGCATTTCTGTTAGGCGAATGGCACCCAGAGGAGAACACAAGGCTAGGGATGTCGAAAGTTGAAAAAAATATCGATATATCGATATTTAAAAAAATATCAATATCGGCTTCGATATATCGCGAAAAAAACATCGATATATCGATATATCGGACCAATTTTAAAATCGGAAATAATAACAATACAAATTATAATTAAAGAAAGAATTATCAAAGTACCAAATTGCCGCTCACTACACTACATGACAGTACAGTATCTCACGAAAGATGACACGTGGAATAATAATGGAACGAAAATTAGTTACGATTTTTCCAGATACGAATTTAGTAAGATCGTGATATGCCGCTAACAATTAAAATAAATAAAATGGGTGCGTGTACTTATGTAGGCGCGTGAGAAGTTATCCTTCTTTGGCATCGTTTAAAATTAGTTTTTAATTGCATGCAAATAATTAATTACAATAAATTAATAAAAAGTCTGGAAAAGGACACAGTCAATAAAGTTCAGTTTTAATTTGAAAAAATAAATAAATAATCAAAATATTCAATTAAAATCGCTACTGAATATAATTTATTACAACATATGTGATTTGCACTTGTATGAAACTCAAACACGTATTCCGAATATACAAACTAGAAACATGTGGATAAATATTATAAATATGAATACCTATAACTGTTACTTTATTACAAAAAATAAAGATGTGGTTTTTGGTTCTACTACACCAATGGTCAAGAGATGGCGCTGTAGTCTCCTGAATCGCGCTTTGGTTCCGTTGTTCCAGATTAATAAATACTTTTGATATTATAAATATGCATACCTTTAACTGTTACTTTATTACAAAAAATAAAGATGTGGTTTTTGGTTCTACTACACCAATGGTCAAGAGATGGCGCTGTAGTCTCCTGAATCGCGCTTTGGTTCCGTTGTTTCAGATTAATAAATACTTTTGATAGGCCTTCACAATGCAGTCGTTAGCACCCACTAAATAGAGATTCTATTTCTATTTTGTTGGTAGATTTTCTTAATGTGCGGTAAACTCACTCTCATCATTTTTTCATAACGCGCCTAAAGAAGTATAACTTCAAAAATATCGTTTTTGATACGAATTTCAATATTGGTTATTTTGTATTGATGTATCGATATATCGAACCAAAATATATCGGCTAAAAATATCGATATATCGAACAAAAAATATCGATATATCGATACATCGATATATTTTCAACAAGCCTACACAAGGCGAGGCAGTCCCAATAGCACCCTAGAAATAAAATAGAAATATTTCTAATGGTGTTTAATGGTTTCTAACAGTCACACTAATATACTTAGCCCAGAAGTAAGTACGGCTTGTGTTATGGGATATTAAGGTAACGGATAGCATACTTAAATAAAGTGTATTTCTGTCGAAATATTAATAAAAACGAGCGAGCCTTACAGTAGTCGCGTATGATGTGTAACATTTGAAACCTCACCTTATATTAGTAAAAAATGAAATAAAACCTACTACAAAAGGAATAAGCCATTTGAACATTATGTTCTAAAATCAAATAAAATAGCGCGCGCTTTCGCGATTTCCTGTTACACACTTCCGTCCCATTTCACGAAATCACTCCCACAAATTGCAGGAAAGCGAGAGAAAAGATGTTACACATCAATAAACGGTCATGAATAATAAATCAGAAATCAATATATCTTTATTCAAATTGGATGAATAGTACAAATCCTTTGAAACATCCACTCGTTATTGGACATATTTTTTAGCTGCGGAGAAAAACGAGCGAAAAAAACTCCACAACAATAATGTACAATGTAACAACATTTACAAATCATTATGTTGTTACAACGTCAATACAATCATGATTTATTTAATATAGAAAACCTGTGGAATGATAGGAACAGTTCAAACCCAAGTATTTTTGTCGGTTATATAATCAGACCTTTTGTAATAAGCTTTTGTAATAAGTTCTTTTTTTATACTGTCTTTGAATTTATTTATGGTTATTATCTCTTGGATATTGCTTGGAACTTTATTGTACTGGGGTACCTGGGCGATGATACTCTGATGAAACTGCCTCTCATATAACGCGATTTAATTACTTTCAAATGCGATAATTTCAAATAAATAACTTATTAATATAGTATTGAGTGACATCAGAATAGTATGGTACTTTATCTGAGAACTTTTAGAATGTAATTAAGAAACGTGGATTCTCATGAACGAAGCCGTTTTAATCCATATTGTTTTTTTATGTGAAATTTATCATTAATATATCGTAATCTAATAATTTATCTTAAGGTCGTGTCTGAAAGACAATTTACTATACTGAATAATACCATCTCCTATCTAATTTTCATAGCGGATTCATAAAAAAAAAAAAACAAAAGTTCACTTAACACCCAGACGCTAAAAAAGCTGATCTAGTTGCTTCAAATGGAAACTGAAGTGTGGGAACATTATACTCTTGTTTACAGATAAAAATGGCAGTTCACTGTTATTCTGAGTGTTGCTGCTGTTGACTTTTTGTGAGCTTCAAGATGGTTGATAAAGGTTAGCGCGCGTTCACACAGGTCACTAACAAACGCTACAAATGCGGTCATCGAAAAAAAAACGGGTGCGTTTCGGGACGCACGACAGAATTAATAAGTTAAACTAACCTAAGCGGCACTGCGGGTTAGAGTGAGAGGAGGAGTCTGCCTACCGTGCCGTATGCGTGAGAGGAAGGGCGCCGTAACGCGTTACGTAACGAAGCGGTTTACCCTCCCATAAGAAGTTATCACTTCAAAAGTCGTAAATGCAATAGGTGTGAGCGTTCTAATGACGAACCGGTTTCAAGGACCGTTTTGTGTTCCGCGACGATAGAACCGTTTTACGTTTCGGATCAAAGCAGTCTTCGTGGAACAACTAGTCCTCGGATTGTCTACACGCCAATTTGTACTTAATGAAGAAGAAAATACAGTCTATAATAGAACGCAATTTTATAAGACCGTTTCGTTTTATGACAAATTAAGCTTTGACTTTACAATAATATAATCTTTATTACTGAACATTTAAAGTCGATTATCGTATAACACTACATTTATTTCGATGTTTCGTCGTCTCGTTCGCAGCAACGAAACGAACGTGAACAAGATTTCATTTAGTTCAGTTTCGTTGCGCTACATTCGTTCGACCGTCGCGTCGCGTGTCGTTTCGTTGCGTCACCCAGCCGCAACCAAAACCAGTTGCGAACGAGAACCGTTTCGAGGACTAGTTTTCGTTTAAGAGAAAACGGTTGCGTTTCGTCGTCAGAAATTTTGAGAACGACCCACCGCTAAAATGCAACGACGGCAGCGATCTTTCCATCGGCTCCATGGTAGGTGTAAAGTTTTAGATCCGGTAGAAACATTAATTTGTTTGTAACTCATCATCATCAGCCTATTAATGTCCCCACTGCTGTGGCAAAGGCCTTCCCTATGGATAGAATAGGGAGATTGGGCCGTGACCCACCACGCGGGCACAGTGCGGATTGGTGGGTGCAAACGACTGCAGATGCAGCCGGGACCAACAGCTTAACGTCCCTTCCGATGCACGGAGGAGCTCGAGATAGTAAATTTTTGGTCACCGATCCAATGATCGACCACTGTAAAAAGTTGTTTAACTTCAACGATCGCAGCCGAACCCGCTAACCACTTTCACCATAGAGCTCCTCACGGTTGTTTGTATGTATCTTCATACAAAGATGATTCAAAACACTTTAAATATTAAAGGAGACCCGGCACTTTTCATAGAAAAAATGCTAAACTTGTATACAGTTGAATTTGGTCTCAAAATAAAGCCAAAATTATTTGCTACATAAAACTACTTTTGCCTTATTTTTAGTGAATCGTGGAAAGAAGTTATTTAATGATTAATATTTTTTGATATAGAAACCCTTTTGATGACAAACCTACGTATTTGACATTGACAGCTAGCTGCTGATGACAAATATTGCCAGACTACGTTACCCAATTATGAAACACAGATAAAAAAAATTAAAAAGTATACAACTTTGGCACAAAATGCCGGGTGTCATTTAGCTAGCATTCACTTAGGTCCCAAAAATTTGTTACAGCGTTTATCCTCACATTTATGCTATTAATTAATTTAAATATAATTAAAAACTACACCGATATTGTGATACACGGAAGAACAGTTATAAGACAACTATGAATGATGTCGTTGCGTTTGTCGCTGCGTTTTTTACTCGCATGTGAATGCCCGTTTATGGTAAGGAAATGGAACGCCAGATGTGAATGATGCTTCTCTCGTTATCTCGTTACTGTTTCATTAACGGCTACTCTCAATAATATGATTGTAATGAGCAAAATGAGATCATCAATTGTATGCGATAACAGAGCTGATTGGGTGCCAAGTAGAGATCACGATTAAAAATGTTGTTCATAATAACGTGATAGGATAATGTAACGGTCGATTTGAATTAATCTATTGGTTTATATTTTACTAGTGGCCCGCCCTCGCTTCGCTTCGGTTTAGAGCTATAGTGTAGACTATAGTTTTCGTTCACAGGCTTGTATTATACACAATGACATTCTTCTTATACCTACCTAATTACAATAAGCACGCGCCGCCAAGCCACCCACCCGGTAGCGTCGGAACCGCTATGTCTCTGCATTTTAAATCTGTAATATCTTCGAAAATATTCATTTAAATTACATGCGTTAAAGGGCCAAATTGGTCTATATTAAATGCACAATCTATTTAAGGTACTTAATTGGATAAGGCTGAATATTATATTGCTGAAAATCGCTTCGTAAATAATCTATTATTTCTCGTAAAAAGTATAGGATAAAAAATGGTTATTGTGGGTTATTCCTAAGAGATAGACATATACCATCGCAGACTTTTTTGTAGACCTTTTTAAGGTGTACGATACTGTAGTACATTGTTTTGATCTATCTCGTAGGGTTCAGCCAGCGTTTGCAATGTGAAAAAAATGAGTTTATTTACGACCTTACGTTAAAAACCTTAGGGGTTTAATTATCAGTGTTTTTCTACTATATTATGCATGTATGATACATATAAACCTTCCTCTTGAATTACTCTATCTACTAAAAAATGCCGCATCAAAATCCGTTGCGTAGTTTTAAAGATCTAAGCATACATAGGGACATAGGGACAGACAGCGGGAAGCGACTTTGCTTTATACTATGTAGTGATTGTTCTTGCTAGGAATGGTATAGATAGGCAATGCTTCAATTGAGCTTCTACACAATACTAAGTAAATATTAAGTTAAAAATTATATTTCCATGTTCCATCGAAAACAACAAAACATAAGTAATAATACAAGATCATCAGAACACATAACATAGAATAATTTCTGACTTATATAGTTTACTAGCGACCAGCTCTCGCTTCGCTTCGGTGTAGAGCTGAAGTGTAGACTACAGTTTTTGTTCTCAGGCTTGTATTATACACAATGACATTCATCTATGATTCTTCTTATACCTTGCATGCAAAGTCTCAGCCCGATCGGTTTAAAATTGACTAAGTTTCATAAAAACTTTCATTCCCTTTTTTATCCCCTTGGGGGTAGAATTGATCAAAATCCTTTGTTAGCTGATGCCTACGTCATAACATCTACCTGCATGCCAAATTTCAGCCCGATCCGTCCAGTGGTTTGGGCTGTGCGTTTATAGATCACTATGTCAGTCAGTTAGTCACATTTGAGTTTTATATTTAAAGAGATTTATTGGCTTCTTTGAAAATAAAACAACAGATTTTTGAAGTTATACTTCTTTAGGCGCGTTATGAAAAAATGATGAGAGTGAAATTTTAAGATGCGCGCGCATCACTGTAACACAAAAATTAACAGCAGCTAAAGCGACCAACTTCATGCTGTTACTTTTGTGTTTACCGCACATTAAGAAAATCTACCAACAAAATAGAAATAGAATCTCTATTTAGTGGGTGCTAACGACTGCATTGTAAAAGTAATCAAAAGTATTTATTAATCTGGAACAACGGAACCAAAGCGCGATTCAGGAGGCTACAGCGCCATCTCTTGACCATTGGTGTAGTAGAACCAAAAACCACATCTTTATTTTTTGTAATAAAGTAACAGTTATAGGTATTCATATTTATAATATTTATCCACATGTTTCTAGTTTGTATATTCGGAATACTGTTTGAGTTTCATACAAGTGCAAATCACATATGTTCTAATAAATTATATTCAGTAGCGATTTTAATTGAATATTTTGATTATTTATTTATTTTTTCAAATTAAAACTGAACTTTATTGACTGTGTCCTTTTCCAGACTTTTTATTAATTTATTGTAATTAATTATTTGCATGCGATTAAAAACTAATTTTAAACGATGCCAAAGAAGGATAACTTCTCACGCGCCTACATAAGTACACGCACCCATTTTTTTTCCTGATCATATATTTTAATTTATATCTAGTTACCATTTCCATGAAATTGTCCACAGATTGATATCGTTGGAGATCACGCCTCGCCCAGAAGTACAATGCGAGGCGGTGGCTTGGAGGCTGGTCGGCCTGCTGGGCAGCGACCAGGGGTCTGGTCTGCGCGCGCGCACTGCCAGACTCGCAACAGCTCTCGCCAGTTACATGCCAGACACGAAGGAGGCCATCGACACCAGGAGAAGGCAGTTAGATGCAGCAGTGCAAGGTCAGCTACTCAGTATTAGTTTTTAAGTATAATATCTTGTGCAAGCGGTCTCTTGGAGTCTGAGTTGTTTGCTGGGCAGCGACCAGGGGTCTGGTCTGCGCGCGCGCACTGCCAGACTCGGAACAGCTCTCGCCAGTTACATGCCAGACACGAAGGAGGCTATCGACGCCAGGAGAAGGCAGTTGGATGCAGCAGTGCAAGGTCAGCTACTCAGTATTAGTTTTTAAGTATAATATCTTGTGCAAGCGGTCTCTTGGAGTCTGAGTTGTTTGCTGGGCAGCGACCAGGGGTCTGGTCTGCGCGCGCGCACTGCCAGACTCGGAACAGCTCTCGCCAGTTACATGCCAGACACGAAGGAGGCTATCGACGCCAGGAGAAGGCAGTTGGATGCAGCAGTGCAAGGTCAGCTACTCAGTATTAGTTTTTAAGTATAATATCTTGTGCAAGCGGTCTCTTGGAGTCTGAGTTGTTTGCTGGGCAGCGACCAGGGGTCTGGTCTGCGCGCGCGCACTGCCAGACTCGGAACAGCTCTCGCCAGTTACATGCCAGACACGAAGGAGGCTATCGACGCCAGGAGAAGGCAGTTGGATGCAGCAGTGCAAGGTCAGCTACTCAGTATTAGTTTTTAAGTATAATATCTTGTGCAAGCGGTCTCTTGGAGTCTGAGTTGTTTGATGGGCAGCGACCAGGGGTCTGGTCTGCGCGCGCGCACTGCCAGACTCGCAACAGCTCTCGCCAGTTACATGCCAGACACGAAGGAGGCCATCGACGCCAGGAGAAGGCAGTTAGATGCAGTAGTGCAAGGTCAGCTACTCAGTATTAGTTTTTAAGTATAATAACTTGAGCAAGCGGTCCCTTAGAGTCTGGGTTGTTTGCTGGGCAGCGACTAGGGGTCTGGTCTGCGCGCGCGCACTGTCAGACTCGCAACAGCTCTCGCCAGTTACATGCCAGACACGAAGGAGGCTATCGACGCCAGGAGAAGGCAGTTGGATGCAGCAGTGCAAGGTCAGCTACTCAGTATTAGTTTTTAAGTATAATAACTTGTGCAAGCGGTCCCTTAGAGTCTGGGTTGTTTGCTGGGCAGCGACCAGGGTTCTGGTCTGCGCACGCACTGCCAGACTCGCAACAGCTCTCGCCAGTTACATGTCAGACACGAAGGAGGCTATCGACGCCAGGAGAAGGCAGTTAGATGCAGTAGTGCAAGGTCAGCTACTCAGTATTAGTTTTTAAGTATAATATCTTGTGCAAGCGGTCCCTTGGAGTCTGAGTTGTTTGATGGGCAGCGACCAGGGGTCTGGTCTGCGCACGCGCACCGCCAGACTCGCAACAGCTCTCGCCAGTTACATGCCAGACACGAAGGAGGCTATCGACGTAAGGAGAAGGTAGTTGAAGCAATAGTGCAGGTCAGCTACTCAGTATTAGTTTTTAAGTATAATATCTTGTGCAACCAGTCCTTTGGAGTCTGAGTTGTTTGCTGGGTAGCGACCAGGGGCCTGGTCTGCGCGCGTGCACCGCATTATCCATCCATTCCATCCATCGTCCGTTACCAGCTCTGAAGGAAAATGTTTGCCCACCTTTTGAAGAATGCCATATTAAAGAATGAAAATCGTTGAGGGAAGTTCGTTCTACATCTCACTGGTAACTCACGAAGAAGGAACGCACACTACCTGATAATGATTTGCCTGCTCACGTTTTCCCTTACCGAGTCTTTAAAAGGGGCGTGAACAACGATATAAGAAGCAACTTGCAGGGCAGCAAGGTGAAGATGGTTAAACTGCTGCATCGGCTGTCTTAGCTTCTGGATTCCAATGTCACTTAACATTAGGTAGGATGGCGCCTGACCGTGCACTTTTGGGCTTGCTACATTCTAGATGCGAGGCAAGGACGGCTAATTGCAGCAGTTAATGTATTACAGGAACAAAACAAAAGAAAATTATCAGCATCAAATATAATTGTGGTGGTGGTTCTGGTCAGGGCTTGCACAATAACTATGACAGGCTCGCCAGAACACTCGCCAAATATCTCAGACGAGAGGGACGCTTTAAATCTGAAGAGACAGTTTGGATGCTGCGATACACTATGTCATAGGTTGACTGTGAAAATACTCCCAAACGTTAAGATACATAGAATAACTTAAATTAAATCTTTGAACACAATGTTTGACAAAAACCTTTGCCTACAGGAAGGAAATTCGGTAATTAATTATATTTCTATTGTTAATAAGATCAATTGAGTAAGTTATATTGTTAAACAAATGGAATCTGATGACATTTATGCATAATTTGAGATTTAAGTGGTTTAATACAAATTAGGTTATACATAACTGTTTATTAATTAAATTCTTTTGTAATTTTTATCTTTAACTGTACTGTATATTGCGATACCCTGACAGGGTTCATGTTAGGTACTATAAGCATTTTGTAACCATCGATGGAACCACATGAGTGCAATAAATTGAATTGAATTAATTTATTGAAATTTGTTTGAGCCAGAACCTTTTGATTGGATACCCATCGAATTCAGAATCACTCAGATCGAGACTTCCTAAACTATGGAGGTGGGCTATGGAGGTGGGCTATGGAGGTGGGCTATGGAGGTCATATATTTTTTTTATTATATCATAGTTATGGTTTTAGTTGTCTTTGTGTTTCATCAGGGTCACATTTCCCTTCTCATCAAGGTCTTCGAATTGAGGTCGCAACTTAAAAACTCATCAGCGTTCATATTGATAATCCGTGAAACGCCAGTTGCCCTATGAGAAACGTGGAAGCACGGTTAATGTTCCATATCCTTTAGCACAAATTGCAAATGCGGAAAGATTTACATTCGATTTTGAACCTTAATCCTGAAGAGTTGAAGTCGATGACGATGTCGAAGAATTTGTAATAACAGCTGTTTCCTTTATGGATGTTGGCTATAATCGAGCAGGTGCGGACATGATTGCTACTATCCTTCGAGATAGTAATAAAGGTTGTTTCGTTGAAGGAAATGATAAATAGTCTGATTCTAATCGTGAACTGCTGACATAAGTAGTATATTTAGTATGACCTTAAGTCAAATTCGCTTTGTTTGAGGAAGATTATGATTGCATTGTCATAATATAATGACTCAATATTCGTACACCATATATGTATATTATAACCTGTCTTTATTATTACACATGATAAAGTAGAAAAGTGACCAAATGCATGACTTAAACAAGACTAAAAAGTTTATCATTTTTTTCTTTTGCGTTTCAGAAATGAGATAGCATTTGCATAGATTATTACTAAACATAAAATCTGCTGACGTAATTATCTACTATATAAAAATAAGTCGGGTTTTCCTTCCTGACGCTATAACTCCAGAACGCACGAACCGATTTCCACGGTTTTGCATTCGTTGGAAAGGTCTCGGGCTCCGTGAGGTTTATAGCAAAGAAAATTCAGGAAAAATTTCAAAAAAAAAAAATTCTTCTTTTAATCACCAAACGAAATGTTACATAAAACGAAGCCATCTGATGGCGAAACGGAGTTCGCCTGGTTTGCTAGTTATTTTATATTTCTTTACAAAGGGTATATTCATAGTAACAAATTTAACAAATATTTTAATTATGGAGTGAAGAAAAACAATTTGGATTCTACTTATCCGCTTTCTTACATCATTACATATTTTTGAAAATGTTCGAAACAAAAGATGTTTTCTTGTGTTTTCATCAGCATAATGTTTGCGATCTACATTTATTTATGTTTCTCTTTTGATCTACAAGCAGTGCGAGTTGAACAATTTTTGATTGTTTCTAACTTTGAGTACTATTTTAATGTGCGTCAACACGATTCTCACCATTTATCAATTTCACAAATGATCTATCGATAGCCTGTTTTATATTACAACTAGCGGCCCGCCCTCGCTTCGCTTCGGTGTAGAGCTGAAGTGTAGACTACAGTTTTTGTTCTCAGGCTTGTATTATACACAATGGACATTCATCTATGATTCTTCTTATACCTGCATGCAAAGTCTCAGCTCGATCGGTTTAAAATTGACAAAGTTTTATACAAATTTTCATTCCCTATTTTATCCACTTGGGGGTAGAATTGATCAAAATCCTTTCTTAGCGGATGCCTACGTCATAACATGTACCTGCATGCCAAATTTCAGCCCGATGCGTCCAGTGGTTTGGGCTGTGCGTTGATAGATAACTATGTCAGCCAGTCACCTTTGAGTTTTATATATACAGATAAATACATATAGTCAACATTAAATTGTAAACTGCAAGCGTTATTAATTTAAGCCAACGTTGATGTTACACTTATACTGGCACTCACATGTGTTATTATTCGTATTCGTAGACACCAGTCTCTCCCCTTGCTTTACAAATAGAACAAACGAAATTCCATATACAGTAAATGAAGATGTTATATTTATTTATTTTACCCGATATTTCGGCACTTGCTATATGTAAAGGTGAAGCCAAACGAGCGTAATTTTGTGAGTTGTGAGTCGCTTATTTTCGGTCACTTATTTTACGTTCAACTGAATTTCTGTTGAGCTGCCATACGAACGTAATTTATTCAGTTACTATTGAGCGTTAGTACGGGGTGTTCGTGTCGTCGAGTGCAATGGATCCATTAAAAATATTGTGTATTTACGAAGCATATTCAGAAGATGAGGCCAGAAAAAGAAACTGGGTAAACCCACTGAATAGTCAGAGGCTGATATGTGGACAGTTCCATACTTTATATGAACGTTTATGTGCAAATCCAGATATGTTTAAAAAGTACTATCATATGCCATTACGTGTTTTTCAAGAATTATTACACCACGCAACTTGTAACAGACTGTTGCTTCCCCACCCCCCTTCCTTGCCCTACCCTCACCCCGACCGAAATTCGGACGAGCTTATGCGCATTGAGTCGGCAGACAACTCATTTTGCGTTGTCGTGTGGCACCAACTGCCTTTTTGTATGAAACCGAATGCAGCAGAATTTCTGCGACCGAAATTCTGCGACTCACCACTCACAAAATTACGCTCGTTTGGCCTCACCCTAAGAGTGACCACGAAAATTAAAAGTTGTGATATTATTTCTCTAGGTTTGGGCACGCACGGGTTGACAGCGGATTCATCGGGGGCACTCATATCCCTCCACGTGGCAATGAAGAATGAGCTGCAGCGGCATGTGGAGGTCTACAAGCAAGCCCTGCATAAGCTCGAAGAGCTGGTGAGACTTCTTGATTATTAGTAAAAATTGGTTTTATAGAAATTTGATTTAGTGCTTCTTTCTACAGGCAACATATTTATTTAATTAATTGCACATGTACAGTATATATAGGTTCTTAAAATTATTTTAGCATGGTACATGACCCTGTCAGGGTGTTGCAAGTACAATAACTATATCACCACAACTACTAAACAGTTTTAATTTCAAACAAGTTAGTGAGGTTTCCGTGACGGTTTCACTTATCATTCATAAATTCATTTACCGAATAGTATGCTTTCTTGATAAGATGTTGAGACATTCTACATACCGTAATTTATCACCAAAAAGATTCGCATTGCAAACCGTGCCACAGTGTTGCCAGGTCTCCAGATTTTACAGCAGATCTCCTGTTTTTCTGAAATTTCTCCTGTTCTACTGTTTTTCTACATTAATCTCCTTTTTTTTTAGAATACGATTTTCTTTTTTAAATTGCATGTTGAGTTGCATTTTTCGTCATTAATAATGTAGATAACCTTAATAATTATAAAATAAATGTAATTGTCTAAAGAAAAAAAATAGCTTTGAGGGGCGGCAGAAGCCACAGAAACACATTCGTCACTGGTCTTTATCTTGATTTGATTTACCAATTCTAGGGGTGGGGGGGGGGGGGGGGGGGCTGCAAGCCGGAATAAGTACACCTCTGCATCTACTGTTTTTCTTGTAGCTGTTTCCATACATCTACTGTTTTTTTCTATAACGCCTCCCGATTTTTGAAAATCGGACCTGGCAACACTGCCGTGCCATATCCGCCAATATGTGATGCTTCTGCAACTATAATCACCAATCCTAACAACGCCACCGAAAGTGTTATTTCACTCGCTGCGGTAGTTTGTAAAATTAAGTTTATGATTTAATTTTATTTTTTAAACATTTAACTGCTAGATGTTTAAATCTAAAGAAAGTTTACTAGAAAAAAATCCACGCGGACCAGGCAGCGGACGGGACTCGAACCCGCATCCTTCGCAATCCGGGCGAATGCACTGACCATTATGCTACCACGGCCCTATTAGCCGCGTCGAAATTTTCCTAGCCTTAAGCTGCAAGGCAGCGCCATCTCTTCGCATTGTAGATAACCCACAATGTCAAATGAATACTTTTTCAAGTATTAAACATTTGAAAGAAGAAATAGCAATTATAGTTATGATTTTATTTTATTTTTAAGCATAATGGTCAGTGCATTCGCCCGGATTGCGAAGGATGCGGGTTCGAGTCCCGTCCGCTGCCTGGTCCGCGTGGATTTTTTTCTAGTAAACTTTCTTTAAATTAAGTTTACTTCCACAGACATTAGTTCCAATTACAGCCGATAATCCGTTGTTTTACTTGGTTGAAATTTGGTCATCAATTGAAATTGTCTTCCGATTTCCAACAGTCACCGGTTACACTGAACCAGGATCCTGCCTCTTCGTCCCACCAGCGTCTGCTGGCGCTGTCCCACGGCGACGTGGAGCGGAGGTTGATAGACAACAAGTCGTTACTGACGATCGTGGACAAGCCGGCCCTGAGGCAACTGCCCACGCTGGTGGAATCGCTGGCGGCGAGGGTGGAAAGTGACAAGGCAGTCTTGGCTTGTGTGGGCCAAATCAAGAGGAGCGATCCCGCATTGGACTTGAGCGATACTCGGTAAGTTACAAATTGATAATGTATTTAAGTTTTTATATAATTACTAGCAAACCAGTGAACCAAATGTTCACCAAAATAAAAAAAAAATGTGTGCGTGTACTAGTGTACACAGGTAAGAAGTGAAACTTCTTTATGGCCTTATTTTTCGAAAAATGATCTACATGCAACTTTCTAGAAATTGGTTAAATAAAGTTATTTGATAAAGTTTAAACAAAAGGATTTTATTATCATAGACATGAATACAAATTACTGCCTATGAAACTGTTATGATTACACGGCTCAGTAATCTAAGGCACATGTTCCACCTCCGACGATGAACGATAAGCGAGTAGAAACTAGAAACGAATTGGCAGTCCTGAGTTAAAATGCACGCGCACGGCTTTTGACAGCCAAGCCAGCTTAACCGAGCGAGTATAGCTGAGCGAGTATCGCTGAGCTAGTATCGCTGAGCGAGTATCGCTGAGCGAGTTTGGCTGAGCGAGTCTTATCTTTAATAACTATTGTCACTCAGCTACAAACGAGTAGAGAGAGTTCTCGCCGGCGACAGTGTGATCATTCAGCTATCAACTATTAATATAAAAAAAGATGGCGCGTAACGGAAAAATGTGACGCGTAACCGAAAAATGTGACGGTAAATTTTTTTGAAACGCCGATAAAGAAGTTTCACTTCAAAAATGTATTCAATTAATTGAGAACTTCGGAGATTTTGTGTGGTTTCGTTTGAAATAGAAATCACGTGATTTCTCGAAAACCGGAAGTGCTACGTTACTAAAATCCGGTTTGTAGTCTTATCAGACTATTTTTAACTTATAACTTAAACATTCTCTTTATCTATCTCTTACGGTTTGGCCGCTGAAACAGCACCACAGACGGACGGACTTGTCTATTAGATAAGAGATGTAATCCTTAGATACTGCAACTGCACGGAAGCGCCATAAAAATATCTACTACATATGGTAGATATGCTCGTCATTACACACGCACACATTTCTGATAGTAATTTTGCGCTTTTAGAATATATAATGTAGTAAGGTTCGAATCAAATTTTGAACTCATTTCTAGCAGCCAAGATTGGTGTCTACTTCGGGTACCCCTTGGATTTCTAGCAATATTATTAGCTACTAGTGGCCCGCCCTCGCTTCGCTTCGGTGTAGAGCTGTAATGTAAACTATATTTTGTTCTCAGGCTTGTGCTATAAACAATGACTTTATTTATATAATTACACGTGTTATTGTGAGTCAATCATAAAAGAGAGATATATGCTGTTGCGGGATATTTTTTAGACAATTTTATGTAGAATATTTCCGTCATACATGATTTCTATGTAACTTTAACCATTAAGGCTGCACACGCGACGAAAGCTTAAAAAATGGAGTAACTTCTCCCGTTTTCCCAACATTTCCCTTCACTACTCTGCTGCTATTGATTGTAGCGTGATGAAAAGTATACTATAACCTGCCCAGGAGTATGAAGAATAATTGTACCAAGTTTCGTTAAAATCCGTCGAGTAGTTTTTGTTTCTATAAGGAACATACACACAGACAGACAGACAGACAGACAAAAATTTTACTGATTGCATTTTTGGCATCAGTATCCATCACTAATCACCCCCTGATAGTTATTTTGAAAATATATTTCATGTACAGAATTGACCTCTCTACAGATTTATTATAAGTATAGATATAGATTTGATGTTTTTTCAATCAATCTTACTAGTAATCTCGTGAGTCTTTCCTACCGATCGCTTTCATTTGATTCTCCTAATGCTCATCGCATACAATGAGCTAAATTGTATTAAAACAATTATGAATAAGTACGCGAACCGTGAAATGACTGTTATGACTCAAACTCATTCGTAATTACTAAACTGTTTGTGTATAAAAAAATATAACTTCTTCATTTCCTAACGTTTGAAGGATGGCCGTTGATAACATCTGCACAGGAAAGGGAAACGATTCTCACATAATATTATAACACTCAACGTTATTTATGTTAAAATCTAGTGGCCCGCCCTCGCTTCGCTTCGGTGTAGAGCTGTAGTGTAAACTATAGTTTTTGTTCTCAGGCTTGTGCTATAAAGAATGACTTTATTTATATAATTACACGTGTTATTGTGAGTCAACCATAAAAGATAGACATATGCTGTTGCGGGATTTAGACAATTTTATGTAGAATATTTCCGTCATACATGATTTCTATGTAACTTTAACCATTAAGGCTGCACACGCGACGGAAGCTTAAAAAATGGAGTAACTTCTCCCGTTTTCCCAACATTTCCCTTCACTACTCTGCTGCTATTGATCGTAGCGTGATGAAAAGTATACTATAACCTGCCCAGGAGTATGAAGAATAATTATACCAAGTTTCGTTAAATTCTGTTGAGTAGTTTTTTGTTTCTATAAGGAACATACAGACAGACAGACAGACAGACAGACAGACAGACAGACAAAAAATTTACTGATTGCATTTTTAGCATCAGTATCGATCACTAATCACCTCCTGATAGTTATTTTGAAAATATATTTCATGTACAGAATTGACATCTCTACAGATTTATTATAAGTATAGATTAAGTGAATTCCTTTTTTTATTGGTAGAATTTTCGAGATAAATACGATGAGTTAGTCTCGTTATTGTCTAACTCAAATGAATGCGATACCTTTTAATTAGAAACCTTTTTAAAGATATCTATATACATGGACCAAATATACAAAATCCAATTTATTGTGGGCGTAGGGTGCAAATATGTTTTAAATGTCAAATTGAAATGTATCGCCATTTCTATCCTTTTGAAGTTAACAATTAGGGGCAAGAATGTATGAATGCAGATTTTCAAAGATCCAGAAAAATTACTGACACTGCAGGTAGGGTCCTGCTGTTAAAGTTAGTTTTTTTTTATAGATAGGTCCGACAAATGACTCCACCCCACCTGATGTTAAGTGAAGGTGAAGTCCAGACGCGAAGATAGCTGATACAGCAGTTCTACCTGCCACACCAGCCATCCTCACCCTGCCGGCCTGCATGTTGCTTCTTCACGCCTCTTAAAGGATCCCAGGTTGTAAGAGAGAGGGAACACGTGAGCGGGCAGAGCATTCCATTTACGGATAGTGCGACAAAGAAATGAGTCACCAAATTTCTTTGTACGCGTTGGAATTGTGGCCACAGTTAGACGATGACAACGTAGGCCAGCGCGCGTGGTCCTCTGAAGGAAAGGGGAAGGTGGGATAAGAGAGAATAACTCCTCAGAACACTCGCCGTGGTACAGACGATTAGTTACTGGAATAACGAAGCATTGTTCCAAAATTATTAAGAAGAAGAACGAGGAGATATAAGATGAAAGGGGTGAAGTTAATGAAGACGGAGGAATTTACTAGGTGTAAGGAACTAATTATTTGTCAGGTTAAGAATATGAACGCGTCTAATCAGGATTTATTTTAAGAAATCTTTCTTTAAGGTGGTACCATATTTAAGTTACTAGCGGCCCGCCCTCGCTTCGCTTCGAAGTGTAGACTACAGATTTTGTTCTCAGGCTTGTATTATACACAATGACATTCATCTATGATTCTTCTTTTACCTGCATGCAAAATCTAAGCCCGATCGGTTTAAAATTGACAAAGTTTCATACAAACTTTCATTCCCTATTTTATCCCCTTGGGGGTAGAATTGATCAAAATCCTTTCTTAGCGGATGCCTACGTCATAACATCTACCTGCATGCCAAATTTCAGCCCGATCCGTCCAGTGCTTTGGGCTGTGCGTTGATAGATCATGTCAGTCAGTAGATTTAAAATATTCTTTAAAACAGCAAGTATTTTTCTTTATAGTCGATTTGAACTTTGTAACACGTAATAATTTAAAAGAGTTAATAGCGAGCTTGTGATTAATAGCGACTGAGGAAGTGAAAGGCAATTAAATCACAAGATTAATGTATTTCCATATCATTTTGTTCTCATGATTAGTTTCTTTCACTGTGGCAGACAGGTATAATAGTTCTATCAGCTGTATGATTTTATAAAACGTGGAGGATTTATTAAAGGCACATGTTTTAATGATAATCAAAAATAAATGAACACAAATAAAATATCAAAGACCGGCCAAGTGCGTGTCGTGCCTTGTTGCCTGTAGTTAACACAATATATTTGAGCAGGAGTCTTTATTTTCTATATTAGAAATTAGAAAAAACTATTAGTAAATAGGTGACGTGCAACCCTTGCTGGCGGCATGTGTCAAAATTCAAAGATATAAAGAAAAGTTTAACTAGAAAAAGAAATCGTCCCGTCCGCTGCCTGGTCCGCGTGGATTTTTTTCTAGTAAAACTTTTCTTTAGATTAAAGCATCTAGCAGTTAAATGCTTAATAAAAAAACATAACTATAATTGCTATTTCTTCTTTCAAATGTTTAATACTTGAAAAAGTATTCATTTGACATTGTGGGTTACCTACAACGCGGAGAGATGGCGCTGCCTTGTAGCTTAAGGCTAGTAAAATTTGACGTGGCCATCAAGGCCGTGGTAGCATAATTGGTCAGTGCATTCGCCCGGATTGTGAAGGGTGCGGGTTCGTGTCCCGTCCGCTGCCTGGTCCGCGTGGATTTTTTTCTAGTAAAACTTTTCTTTAGATTTAAACATCTAGCAGTTAAATGCTTAAAAAACCATAACTTCAAAGAAATAGTCAAATATTAGTAGAACATTTGGATCTGTCTATCCTGCATCGGATGCAGCCAAACTTGTATGTGAGATGGTGTGACCACTCCGTTTGGTATAACAACAAGTTTAGGGTATATGGGACTGGCGTTCCTGGTGTGAAAGTCCCTAAATGTATGTATGAAGAAAAAGAATGAATAATATATTAACTAAATTAGTAATTTAGTCAACTAAATAAAATCAAAACACAACAAAATTACGTAGACTAGAGCTGTAAAGACTAATGACATAAAGTAGGATATTTATAGGGATGATTCGACAGCATATTTTTTTATGTTTACTGTGAAATTTCCTACAATGCCATACCAAAGTACCCTCTTTCGCTTGCTAGGATTTTAATGTAATTCTCACAAAAGATAGCAACTTCAATAGTATTTTTTTTAATTTCCATCCTAGTTAAGTTTGTAAATACTTTGTGTTTGTTTTTAAGCTTCCCAACAGTCTTGCTGTGATTAACAAGTTATCGTTAAGTGATTAATAGATTCCTGATTATTATTATATAAGTGAGTGTTAAGTATATGATGTTTAGAGGCCTGTGATTGGTGTTAACATTGGATTGGGAGTACTTTTGCTCCCGGCTGGTAGTCAGGACATGAGCTTTTATCTGTAACAGAGAAACTTTAATAGTTAATACAGACAACGATTTTTTTTTTCAAATAATGTCTCGACGTTACCTCACTAATGAAATTCATGTGTATTTAATATATGAAATTTCTCGATAAAATTAAGTAAAGTTGCTTAATCTAATTACATAATTACTATATATATAAATACTAGAACAATAAAACTAAAACTAAAAACCTTAAAAATAAAATTAATAACTAAAATATATTATTAAAAAGAGTCCCTTTAGGCAAGGATCCATAGATTTAATCTGTAACATAAATTTAGCATTTGATACCAAATACTAAACACCAATCGTACTTATCTCTAATCAACGCACACACAAGGCTTTACACGTAACACCTTCAGAAGCGGAAATTAATTAATTTAGTTATTCAGTTGTTGCAAAGCTAAAATCTAAAACAAATATTACCGTCATCCAATATTATATGGCATCATATAAGTTTTGACGGTGAAAGTCGCTTTCATATCTCCTCCGTTGTACAGCAAATCAGGTTCCACGATGACAGGTACCGAAACATGTCAAACCGACAGCTTACGTAACAATGTCTATATAAATACATATATATATATATATATATATCATATTAACAGTAACTTAAAACTTCTATGCATTTTTGATTGGTCTCGAGTGTGGTGGCGTGAGAGCTTTTCTCTATAAAAGTGACTCGTTTGATTGCTAGCCGTTGTAAAGTTTGACGCTATTCCGTTTTTATTCATTCACTTCCGGTTGGATACAATCGCTTTGTTTATGCATATCCGGCGCGAAATTAATTGGATATTAATTTTGTGAGCTTTCGCTTTGTCAGTCTCTCTGCTTTAGGAGTACAGAGCACCAATATTCGTTGATAAGTGATTGTGACAAAAAATCTCTTTTTCATCCCACCACCTCGGAAAGTGTAATTTTGCGCTTCGAAATCTGGCTGGAAAATTCTATTTTATTCGCTTGAGCGGCAAAGTAGATTTGAATTTAGAACATCACATATAATGAGTACTCAATATAATTGTAAATTCAAAACGTCATTAAACCTATTTAATGTAACCTCTATGGTGCCAAATTTATGATTAGAACTTTTTAAATTGTGAAAAAATTTAAATTTGGAACCTTCTTGGTTTCTTTGTTTTATTTGCGTGCTTCGCGCCATTCTAGTTTTTCACGTTTTATTGCTTAATATAATTAACATAACCTAAAAACTGTACAAAAAAATCAACTAAAATGAGTGACATTAGCGACGATGAAGTTTATCTAACGCCAACTGAGTTAACTGAAACAGTTAATAATGCGCAAATGAGCCTTCTCCCTCAGCAATCACGAGAGAAGTATTTGAAACAGTACGATATATTTAACATGTGGCGACTAGCTAAAGGAGCAAAAACTTTCTCCGAAAACGTTTTGCTGGCATATTTTATAGAATTATCTGAGACCAAGAAAGCAAGCACGCTATGGAGTACGTATTCAATGCTAAAATTAACAATTAAGATGAAGAAAGACGTTCATATCGACACCTATCATAAATTAGTGGCATTTTTAAAAAGAGCCTCATCTGGTTATAAACCAAAAAAATCGAAGGTTTTCACAGCATCTGAAATTGCAAAGTTTATTAATGAAGCACCTGATTCCGTATATTTAGCGGCAAAAGTAAGTCAATACGTGTAATTTTTTGTTGTTGATAAAATTGTACATAGTACTTACAATATTTTTAATTTGATTAATTTATTTACGATTATAAATACTTCTTTTGTTACAGGTTGTTCTTATTATTGGTATAACCGGAGCATGTCGAACAAATGAACTTACACTACTTAATGTCAATAACGTATCAAAATATTCTCATAATTCTGATGAATTGCTATTAATTAATGTACTAAATACCAAGACAAAAAAAGACCGCAACTTCGTTATTCGCAAGGAATATGTAAACATTGTTCAGAAATATCAAGCTTTACGTCCTTCTAACACCCCAATTGAACGATTTTTTCTACAATATCGCAACGGAAAGTGTATCCGACAACCTATGGGTCAGAATAAAATTGGCAGTATTCCACGAGAAATAGCAACTTTTCTCGGACTTTTAGAACCCCCGTTATACACCGGTCACTGTTTTAGAAGAACCTCAGCCACACTTTTGGCCGAATCAGGGGCTGATCTTCTATCGCTTAAGCGCCATGGAGGCTGGAAGTCTAATTCGGTTGTAGAGGGATACATAGAGGATTCAATCCAAAGTAAATCAAAAATTTGTAATAGTATCGTGGAGGCCATAACGCTGAAAGAACCTCTGTCAGATTCTTGGTCTCGCCCTTCTACATCTAAAATGAGCCCCCATAAGATTGGAAACAATAGCCCTCTCTCGCCAACATTTACGCCAATAGAATCCAATGAATCGGCACAACTATTTAAAATTACTGATACGAGTAGTTTACCACAAAACAGCGCACAATTCACAAACACCAACATAACATTACCTAACAAAAATATTAAACTTAACATAAGTAACTGTAGCAACGTTACATTTAATATTTCTTAATTATTTTCTACTTCTTATTATTTTCTTCAATTTATAGATTATCTTAATGTGTTTTAATTGAAATAAAAATATTTTGTCATTATAAATTGTTTTCTTTTTCATTTTGTCATTTCCTCGCTGAGGTGGGATGAAAAGTTACGTATTGCACTCGAGTGGAAAGATTTTTCACCTTGTGCTCGTTTGTTTCCCTCGCTGACGCTCAGGATTCTAATTTAGAATCACTCGCTGCGCTCGTGATTCAACTTTAGAATCCTTCGCTTGCTCGGTCATCCAAATCGAGCACGCGGTTAAAAAGGAACTTTCCACTCTTGTATAATAAATAACTATTGTTCGATTGTATACAGCTATTTTGACCTTTACAGCGTCACCGGGTTTGGGGACGGCGTGATCCTCAAGCCGAGAATTGGCGAGTGCCTCTAAAGGTATTCCAGGCGGATGGTATCTCTCCACGGGGGAAGTTCTCTCCCCATCTGGAGCCTTTACACCACTCGAACCTGATATCAGTACTTTTTGAATCCCCTTTCTACGACATTTAAACGATGTGAAATGCAGACGTTTCTTAAATTAAATATGTTTAGGGACACGATATCGAATAGAAAGTATCGATACTGTACTCATGAGTAGTATCGGAAAAAAAGTATCGTACTCGTAAAAGTATTGAAACAAAAGTATCGATACTTCAAAGTATCGAGTACATTTCATAGGACCTTATAAGCAATGTAGATACTCTTAAAAACGTGTAATGTTAATATAATCAACTGCAAAACTAAACGTGAATTACTCAAGTACGTAAGTCTCAGGACACACTAGATGGCTTCTGCTTCCAATTATATCAACGCAATCGACTGTTTTAGAAGGTTTGCTATGATTCCACTAGATGGCGTTGCCATCAATATAAGGCGCTTATCCAAATTTTTACAGTTATCAATACTTTTTTTAGTTTAGTAATTTAGTTGAAGTATCGAAAACCAAGTATCGAGTACAAAAGTATTGGTATCGAAAGGAAAAGTACTCGATACCACAAAGTATCGATACTTTTTTCGTGTCCCTAAATATGTTATTTTTATTTTCTTTCAATGCTTAATGCTGTTTAATTTCAATCAAAGACTAGAGCTATGTACCTATTTTTATACGAATTCAGATTAGGTTATTTACGGGGTAATATTTTCGGGAGTTAGTAACACTGGGGTGCAACTTTCTCTGAGGAGTTTTTGGCGGGATTTCATCGAGCCTGGTTGGCGTTTTATTTTAATTATTATTCTTAAATTCGTTCATAGTGGATATTGTGAAATAAAATTTGGTGTGATTTTGTGTTACATACAACTATCTGCGTAACTGAAGAATTAATAGAATCGTCAAAATATACGCTATTCCGGTCAAGTGGACGTGAGAATTTTATTGTAGTATTGACTACCTCACAGAAGTTTATCGAAAAAGCCAGCTCGATACAAACACTTCAAGAAACATTAGAATGCGTCACACCGACATTCTAATGTAAAAAGAAAAAACAGAAGAATTTAACTTAAGACTAGGCTGTATGGGCATTGTTCCCCTTGCCTTCTCTGAAACGGGAGAACAAAACCAAAAAAAAAAACTTTCTCTGACGGCTATAAACCGGTGTGCTTTTTAGTTTTATTTTTAAATATTTAAAAAATGATAAACGATGATAACATCTAGTAGAACATCATAATTCCAGCTGAAAAGAAAAAAATCCGACAGCGCCGTCCGTCCGTCCGTCAGAATCACTTCGTATCTACATCATCATTCTTCATGGCTAGAAAGTCACGTTTTAATAAATCAATCTGGTAGAAAATCACTTTCCATACGTTTCCGATTGGAACAATGTACCATAGAATAGTGAACGAATGCGTTTGCGCATTGTTTCTTGCATACCGACAACAAATTAATAGTTCCATTCATATCGACTCTGAAGCTGTAGGAACAGGGAGCTCTATTTTTGAATCACTCACCTGACATAGTATCGTCGAATGCGACATAAGTCACTTTCGACTTTCAAGTCGCATAATACTGATTTTCCATATTTTTGAATCACTCCTCACCAGTGTTACCTGTTTGATGCGAAATACGAAATTTTACTCATTTCATGCAGAAATAATAAAAACCGGTAATTACTACTACTCTTTGTCCTTTCCTATAAAGCATGAAAATGATAGATTATCGTCGTTTAATACCACAAAAAAATTGACAATTATTGTATCATTCGCCTCCACCATTCGCCATGCAGCGAGCAGTGTTGCCACCTTGGATTTTTTTAAAGCGCCAAGACTAAGGTAAAGTATCGCCAGATTTCAAAAATTTGGATTTAATAAAATACACCAAAATCCGCTAAATTACATTTACATCTCAGACAACAAAAACCCTAATTTAAATAAACAACCAGTGAATATGTATGAGATGCTACGCTGATGACAATGCTGCAGTCGTTCTAAATTAGTACAATTTAGTTATTTAAAAAAAAAGCCCTTAACACACAAACGCGTATAGGAATTCCCCTGTCACAGAGTAAGCATAGAACATTATGAAATTCCGGAAAGTTAGGGGATTTCCCCCTAAAAATATTTTGCTAGATTTCATTTTAAAAAACCACTAGAATACACTAAAAAAAATATACCCGCTACATAATGAAAATTTACCACTAGAAGTCGTGAAAAAGCACCAGTTCTGGTAGAAAAACCATCAAGGTGGCAACATTATCAGCGAGTGGTCTCACCCATTCGTTGCACTCGAGCGATTCTAAAATACGGAATTATTATGTCGAATGAAATTTAGTAGAAATCGAGCGTTCGACGCTAAGCGAGTGATTCAAAAATAGTGCTCAGGGAATGAAGCACAATATTTCAAGAGATAGCGTGTTCAATTTTATCTCCGTTTTATTAGCTCAAGTCGTGGATTCATCGTCATATTGTTACGATGAAATTGTGCTTTCAAAATAAGTATTTTTACTGGGCAAACCTACCGCTATGGTTGTGGCTTTTCTGGCAGCCGATCTTTTTCTCATCTTAAAATACGCCACGCTGAACGCGGTAGGAATGGAAAAGTTAAAATTCTCAAAATAATTGAATGAAGCCTTTTCTATTTTCTTGTATTTCGACCTATCCATGGAATAAAGCTACTTCTGCATAATCACAACTTTACAGTAGATCGATTTTAAGTTTGTAAAATGTAATATATGCTGTATCTTGTGTTGGTATTTTTCTATCATTTGAATTTTTTTACTAATCATATAAAGCATTAAGAAGCAAATTATGACGCATTTATTGTTTAAAAAAACTACATTTACGGCTTATATTTCGTTATTTAAGAGTTTCTTATGTGATTATGTGACAATTTACTACGGACATCTTAATGTTACATATGCATATCAGACCTTATGCTTGGGAAACGTGTCAAATTTATGTGTAGATATAACTTTCTTTTACGTAATTTATATTTTCTGTCGCGTCACATTATGGTAATATGGCAAAGATTGAGCAAAATCGATCAAACAAGAAATATAGAATCAAACATTTAGTAAAAATTCTCAGTTTATAACGAAATTGAAGCCGTGTAGGCTGCGTTCTTGCCTATCTAAACGGTTCTTGTGCTCTTGGCTCTATATTCTTCGTAAACAAACGATCACATGTACCTTTTTTCAATTGCTATCTTCAAAGTTATATATGTTTTAGAATAAATGTTTTTACCAGTAAAACATATGCGTCCGTTTCGCCTAAAAGTACAATAAAAGCAATTTGGTAACATTTTCATATGTAACTTTATTCTATGCATATGTATTCTATTTGTTCGGTTGACTGGCAACCGCCAGAATGAATTAATTGGCCATAAATGGCTTCAATGGTATGGAGGAACTCGAGATAGTAATTTTTTGATCACTCATTCGATATCCGGTCGCTGTGTAAAATGTTTTACATTCCGAACAAAAAAGACTGTACCAACATCGTCTTCTCAACAAGTAAATTATTAAAGAAATCTTCGCTTACGCTTTCTCGAGTCTAAGTAAATACTTTAAGCTAACACGTTACATTACGACATTATTTACTTAACACATAATGCTTATCATGGCAACACACAATGTTAATGTGTATAGGATGTTACGTTAGAAATTTCCAAATGATTTGAGTAAACGGTTTAGAATGATTGCGTAGAGTAAGTTTATTTATGATGTTCAAATATTTGTTTGCGTTTAGTGGGTCCGAATGGGTTTCTAAGAGGCCACTGAGTAAACCATTAATAATTATTATCAATGCCTCTAGCGTTATTCCAGGACATATTGCTGGAGGCAGTGGCGGTCTTAGGGGGTGGCGAACAGGGCAATCGCCCGGGGCCTCGCTCCTACAGGGGCCTCGCGCAACAACCCAAGTAAATTTTAAAAATATAAAAAAAAAATACTATTATTTCAATGACACAAGATCGGCTTTCAGCCCTCGCTATTCTTTCAATCGAAAATGACGTAGCTTATTCGTTACATTATTGTGCTTTAATTAAAGATTTTAGTCTTAGGAAAAGCCGCAAACATCAATTTTAAAATTTATCATCTCTGTATTTGTTAATTTGTGAATCTTTCAATGTAAAATATTTTAAAATTCAAATTTTATTTATTTGTATAATTTAAGCATTTTTCCTTAAACATGACAAATACCTAAACCAAACAACCAGACCTACTTTCGCATCACATACTTTTCACGAAGGACAAAGGGCCTCGCAAAGTCCTGCCGCCCGGAGCCTCGCAATGGGTAAGGCCGCCTCTGGCTGGAGGATTTGGCAGATCGTCAGAGGTGCATAATGATTATGACATAGATAAACATACTTCATAATTACATCTATATATATATAAAACTCAAAGGTGACTGACTGACATAGTGATCTATCAACGCACAACCCAAACCACTGGACGGATCGGACTCAAATTTGGCACGCAGGTAGATGTTATGTCGTAGGCATCCGCTAAGAACGGATTTTGGTCAATTCTACCCCCAAGGGGATAAAATAGGAAATGAAAGTTTGTATGAAACTTTGTCAATTTTAAACTGATCGGGCTGAGACTTTGCATGCAGGTATAAGAAGAATCATAGATGAATGTCATTGTGTATAATACAAGCCTGAGAACAAAAACTGTAGTCTACACTTCAGCTGTACACCGAAGCGAAGCGAGGGCGGCCCGCTAGTTTTATATATGTTCTTAACCATACATGACGGTGAAGTCATATTTGAACTTGGTTAGGTTAACCCACTTGTTCCTACCATTTGATGTACGGATCATTATGAAAACAAATAAAAAAACAAAATAGTTAGTTTCCAATTGTATTGATTATGCCAACATTGGATTTGAATTAAGTGTTTAATGTTTGCACTAAGAGATAAGACACTATTGATACCGAAACATTGTAAGATTCTTAACAGGTCGTGTCGTACTTCCATGGATTTATTTTCTGGATATTTTATTTACAATTAATTGTTCTCCAGAGTTTTATTTTTATTCAAACGTTCACATGGTACATGAGTCTACATATTAGTAATAAATAAAAAACGGTCTCAAAAGATCGTAAATATGCTAGGAAGCTTGTTTCAGTTAGAAGAATTAATAGAATTAGGAAGATGGAATAGGATTTATTGTTGTAGTTTAACTTCAACAACATATTTATATCGCAAGAAAGAAAGAAAGAAAGAGAAACATTTATTGACGACATACATTAACAATTACAATAAATACGCAACAAACATAAAACAAAAGGTACATCGTCAACTAGGCCCCACCTCAGCATAATGTTGCAACGGCAAAAATGGATTGCCGCTGCAACGCTGATATTCTGGAGGGACCTAATTTGGACATCGACGGACGGAAATACAAGACAATCACATAATACACAAAATAAAAAAAGAAAAATAACACAAGAGGCTGTATGGGCTCGGCTCTTTGCCTACGAAAATTTGAATACACAAAAATGTAGGGATGTCGAAAGTTGAAAAAAATATTGATATATCGATACATCGATATTTTAAAAAATATCAATATCGGCTTCGATATATCGCGAAAAAAACATCGATATATCGATATATCGGACCAATTTTCCCAAAAATATCGCTCACGAAATATGACACGCGGAATAATAATGGATCGAAAATTATCTCCCTAAAAATAGACCCTATTTTCGAATGATGACATAGACAATACTAAATACCGCACAGATCATAGATATGTTGTATATCATTAATCTGAGATCCAGTTACGATTTTTCCAGATACGAATTTAGTGAGATCGTGATATGCCGCTAATAATTAAAAAAATATCGTTTTTGATACGAATTTCGATATTGGTTATTTTGTATCGATGTATCGATATATCGAATCAAAATATATCGGCAAAAAATATCGATATATCGAACAAAAAATATCGATATATCGATACATCGATATATTTTCAACAAGCCTACAAAAATGGGAGAAAAAAAAAATAAAAAGACAAAACCGTAATCTAAGTAATGTTAACAAAATGGAGATAAGATGACATGTACTAAAAGCCACGTCATCGGACCATTTAACAACGTGGCACAGCATCACAAAATTACGCTACACTGCGCACTATAAACCGGACCAAAAAATACTACGATCGGCAATATTTCCGAGACAATTTTACAATCCGAGACCAAATATTTACATTGAATTGAATAATAATCTTAAATTGTCATACTGAAAAATTTTGTTATTATAGGTATATCACACTAAATTGACATAAAATATTTTTATTTTGAACTGACATTGAGAATTGTAATTAATATTGACATAAATTTGAATTTAAATTATAATGATAAAATACTTGTTATTAAATGAATGATTAGTAAATTTAATATGACTGTTATGTTTTAATATATTTGAATTTTTTGCATGCTATTAATATGGCTAAATAGGTTTAAGATTCTTAGCTTTTAACATATGCTTTATATGCAAACACCTTTTGTCAACCCTATTTAATGCAAATAAAGATTATTCTATTCTATTCTATTCTATTCAAAACACTACTAACTTTTCATGTCAAATTAGCAACTTAACGAACCAAAGCCGACCATTTAGTGAAAGGGGGCTTATTATTGGTCGAATCACCTATCTTTAAATATAAAAAAACGACACGCATACCAAAAGTGTTTCTCGTGTTCTCAACAATAATACCGACATTAATTATAACAATCTCCGTAATGAATCATCAATTATAAAGACACTCGCACAAACCGACAATTAAACTGTTGATTAAGTTTATACAAAGAGGCTCTCACGGCATTTCTCCGTTACCTCAGACGAAAGGGGCATTGTATATTGTATAATTTCTTGCCACAAACAGTAACAATTATATCTGTAAGATACGTCACGGCGCGCAGCGGATTTCATTATGTAAACGTTTATTTTATAAGACAAGATATAAGAAAACAAATGAGCTATTTGTACATTTGCGGTATTTGTTGTAGCCAATATCGCTTGAATTTAATAATTTTTCATTTGCAAAACTATTGTCTAGCTGAAGTCAATAACATCCGTCTAGCTCCTACAACAGCAAAGGCATTAAGTACTAGTTAGGAAGGAAGACACGGGTTTTTATTGGAGTTTACTCCTTAAGAATCGATTTGCATATATAAGGGGCCCGTTATGAGAAAAATGTGAGGAGTGAAATCTATCGATGAATGACCTCGTTACGTTTTTGGTGCGCATCCTATGTCGCGCAACTTTGACAAACAAAGATGACGGATTGACATTGGTAATTTTTTTAAAATCTGAACTGAATTTAGATATTGTTTCTGATAGAGCAATGGGGACAACGAGGAGTAAACTCCAGTCGTGCGTCGGAGCTGACACACACAATTTTTTTCTTCTCTGTGACGGCAAGATTCAAGAAGCCGATTTAATTTTAAGTTTGAATAAAGTTGACTCTTTCTTTGCTAATACAATGAGGGCTATCGCGTATGAATCCGCCGCTAGAGGCGCTAGTGTAGCGTGAGGTCTCCGAAATGTGAAATGTTATTGCTTGTTGGTTGACTACGCGGGCTTATTTCTAATTAAAATAATGTTGTGAATAAAGCATTGGTAACAATTCGGCTTAATCATGGCAAATATGAGTTATGTGGCAATGAATGTCAGTTATTAAAAATTTGAGCTTAGAAAAATGATTATGTTCCCATTTTTTCCGAATAAAACGGAACCGCGCGTCACTGTGGCATGGCCTATTATGTTTAGGATATGGTTCTTTTGTGTTAAAATACGATCTAAATGTAACCTTTGATTTCATGTGTAAATATTAATAAACTTTAAAAGTTACAATTTAGGAACTTACTCAACAGTGGCGCCATCTGGTGAGGCAGAAAACGGTAGCCCTCATTGAATGAGACGTCTATGGAGACAACATATGCCTGCCTTCTGAGAAACGTAACAGTACATCAACTAACTATAAAGTGTTGATGTTTCAGGCCTGTCGCCGGTGTACTGATGAGCTACTCTCGCGGCTGCACGGCGGTCCTAGCCCAGATGTCGGAGGGGGAGAGAGAGAGCGCGGGGGGAGCCGCACCCCGCTCCCCCACCGACTCCGCCAGTGACGGATACCATTCGGACAGCGATGACTCCCCGCAACTCTCTGACAGGTACGATTATTGTGTGAATCAACTCCAAGTCTATGGCTGGAGGCCCCATGCGCTACTGTCGCGGCAGTATGGCGGTCCTAATCCAGATGTTGGAGGGGGAGAGAGAGCACCGGGGGAGCCACTCCCCACTGTCCCACCGACTCCATCAGCGATGGTTTCCCGCAGCTCTCTGACAGGTCCGATTATCGTGCGAATCTACTCCAAGTCTGGGCTGGAGGCTTCACGAGCTACTCTCGTGGCAGCACGGCGGTCCTAGCCCAGATGTCGGAGGAGGAGAGGGGGGGGCGGGGCGGGGGGAAGCACCAGCCGCCAGCAAAAGCAGCTAGCTCCACAGCTTTCTGATAGGTAAGAGTTTCAAGTAAATCACCCCATCAACCGACTAATTTTATCGTATCACGCCCACTACCATGTACCTACCTTGTTTTTTCTATGATCATGGACTAACTAACGGAGCGTTATTCCATGAACATGGCACTTTCAACTGCGCTGGAATGCCGTTTACTCGCTTATTACCATAATGTTAGGGACTATGAAAGTTTAAAACAATATATCAACCTATGGATGTCTCTCTATGGATGGAATAGGGAGATTGGGCCATGACCATGTTGACTAGATTCTTTCGTTTGCAAACGCAGCCTGCACCTACCGATACGAAGCACGGTGTAACTCAACATAGTTTAGTTTAAGTCTTCCATCCTATGACCGTTCACTGCAAAAATTGCTTAACTTCGACGATCGAGTCATTCGTTCATTTTCTGGTGACATTTATTTATTTATTTTATTTTAGGAAGGTTTTCAGCTATCAATGACTTATTAAATAAACAAACAACAATATCTAAAAGCCAATTAAAAACCTCCACATATTAAACATGCTTATATAACTATAACTATCTCATAATCTTTTATCTTACTATAATATGCTTACATGCTTATAATATAATTCATATCATAATAAATTTATTACAGCTAACAATTTATACTAACTTAAAAAAAAAAACAGAAAGGAAACAGACGCCAGTTTGAATATTGAGCATACCCACTTATTTAATTAATGCCTATTTAAAATAATTCGAAGCTATAGTTCGTCTGACTGTCGCTGGGCTTGTCGAGAATAAGTCAGGAGTGACATTTATCAGGAGTATGTTCGGTTCTCTCTTGTGTTGACCCCCTTGTGATGTTTTGCAGGAGTAAGCTGGTGTCGCAGTACGCGGCGGTGTGGGCGCGTGCCGCAGACGAAACGCTGCCGGCGCTTTCAGCCCTAGAACCGCTGCGGCAGACGCCCCAGCTCAAGTACAAGATCGTCTTCTCCGTAGTTGTTGTGAGTAAACTATAATAAATAAATCTTTATTGTGTACGGAACAAGGTATCATGAAAATACAGGTCTTAATGCTAATGTACAGTGCCATTTGATCCTACCTTTTCAGGTGTATACACATTTATATTGTACGTATAGGAACCATTTGAATATTTCTACTTATATTCTAAATACTCTTGGATACTATAAAAACATTTTTGGCGAAGCCAATCTTTTTTAATTTAAAAAGTTTTAGTTCTTTGAACTTGTCTGGTAATTTATTGTAAATTTTAATGCACATAATAAAAGTGTTTTTAGCTGCTAAAGACAATTTTGTAGCAGGCCTATGGAGCTTATTAACTATTAACTACAATCTGGCAATCCTGAAATATTAAGGTTAGGTGTTTTTATATTATTCCAGCGGATCCAACGAATCCAAATAACGCACCCATTCCAATAAAACAATTGGATAAACCCTAAAACCCGACTGCAGTGCCACCTATCGGGTAAAGTTGTTACTTAAGTTCTCCTACACTTTCAAAGTTTTCGTAATACCTTCTATGAGATATTAGGAAAATTCTAAAAAGATAAATGGAATCAGTCAAGTCGTTCTCGTGTTACCCTTGAGACGAAATTGGGATTCATATTTATACATTACTAGCGGCCCGCCCTCGCTTCGCTTCGGTGTAGAGCCGAAGTGTAGACTACAGTTTTTGTTCTCAGGCTTGTAGTACACACAATGACATTCATCTATGATTCTTCTCAGCCTGATCGGTTTAAAATTGACAAAGTTTCATACAAACTTTCATTCCCTATTTTATTCCCTTGGGGGTAGAATTGTTCAAAACCCTTTCTTAGCAGATGCCTACGTCATAACATCTACCTGCATGCCAAATTACAGCCCGATCCGTCCAGTGGTTTGGGCTGTGCGATGATAGATCACTATGTCAGTCAGTCACCTTTGAGTTTTATATATATAGTTATAGGAATAGAGATTATGCGTTTGTCCGCAGCTGTCGTTCCGTGCTGCTATCAGCCTGCGCGAACGGCGCTTGAACGAGGTAAAGGCGCTGCTGGGAGCTGGCACTGGTGATGACGGCACTACCGCCGCAAACGCGGCATTGGCGCGGCTCTCGGGCGCTGCTGTGCGTGTGCTACAAGACACCGCGCACTGCTTCCCGCTGGGAGAGGCAGAGAGGACCGTCGTCTCGCAGGTAGGAGGCATTCATCAGTGTGAGCTGGCGCAGGTGATGACGTCACCATTGAGCTGGCGCAGGTGATGACGTCACCATTGAGCTGGCGCAGGTGATGACGTCACCATTGTCGTCGGCGCGTGTCACAAGACACTGCGTATTGCTTCCCGCTGGGAGAGGCAGAGAGGACCGTCGTCTCGCAGGTAGGAGGCATTCATCAGTGTGAGCTGGCGCAGGTGATGACGTCACCATTGAGCTGGCGCAGGTGATGACGTCACCATTGTCGACGGCGCGTGTCACAAGACACTGCGTATTGCTTCCCGCTGGGAGAGGCAGAGAGGACCGTCGTCTCTCAGGTAGGAGGCATTCATCAGTGTGAGCTGGCGCAGGTGATGACGTCACCATTGAGCTGGCGCAGGTGATGACGTCACCATTGAGCTGCCGCAGGTGATGACGTCACCATTGAGCTGGCGCAGGTGATGACGTCACCATTGAGCTGGCGCAGGTGATGACGTCACCATTGAGCTGGCGCAGGTGATGACGTCACCATTGAGCTGGCGCAGGTGATGACGTCACCATTGTCGACGGCGCGTGTCACAAGACACTGCGTATTGCTTCCCGCTGGGCGAGGCAGAGAGGACCGTCGTCTCGCAGGTAGGAGGCATTCATCACTGGGAGCTAGCGCAGGTGTTGACGTCATCATTGTCGTCGGCGCGTGTCACAAGACACTGCGTATTGCTTCCCGCTGGGAGAGGCAGAGAGGACCGTCGTCTCGCAGGTAGGAGGCATTATCACTGGGAGCTAGCGCAGGTGTTGACGTCATCATTGTCGTCGGCGCGTGTCACAAGACACTGCGTATTGCTTCCCGCTGGGAGAGGCAGAGAGGACCGTCGTCTCGCAGGTAGGAGGCATTATCACTGGGAGCTAGCGCAGGTGTTGACGTCATCATTGTCGTCGGCGCGTGTCACAAGACACTGCGTATTGCTTCCCGCTGGGAGAGGCAGAGAGGACCGTCGTCTCGCAGGTAGGAGGCATTCATCACTGGGAGCTGGCGCAGGTGATGACGTCACCATTGTCGCCGGCGTGTGCTATAAGACTATTTTACAAATAGCACCAAACTGCCCACATGTCCAAAGTCTAAGTGCTATGCTGAATAATGTTGTCTAATGCCCTTATTAATAAAGTAACAATAAGCTTGGATTAGTCAGTCCATGTTTAACTCTGTTCATTGGATTAATGGTAAGTATTTGAGTGGTATGAACATAACATGGTGTACTGACCAATTATGCTACCGCGGCCTTGACGGCGGCGTCGAAATTCCTCTAGCCATTCTTAAGCATTTAATGTACGGGATCCGTACACATATTTTCCGTGACTAGATCAGGTTTATAATATATTTTTCTAAATTATTAAAGAAAAACAACCGTGACAGCCAAAAGGAAAAATCGAATATATTTCATAAAATCAAAAATCAATCAAAAACAAACATAAAGAATATACAAAATCATGGACAAAATATTGCGATATCAAAAAGAAGTGTGCATTCGCCCACACATATAGTCTTTATGTATTGTTCTGAGGGGCTTGGGCCTCTCCGTCCGGGCAACACTATGGAGACAGTTCACTTATTCGTGTTCTATCACTAATTATTCGCTATTAGTAGAATTTCAAGTAAAGTGACTAAATTTTGTGATTAATTTACTAGGAAAACTTCCGATTCCGATCCGGAAGGTGTTTATAAGAAGAAACGGACTGCCAAATGGGTAAACAATATATAAATTATACTATATTTATTTACCCTCAGCAGGAAGCGTTTTAAAGTACCCTCAACATTGAAGGTTTTAGGGTTGTCAGAATCAATTTGACGTCCAACTTTATCCAAACGCCAGAATTTGAGTTGCCAGCTTATGAAGATCTCCTCAGTATTGGGAAAAAGCAAATGATTGAGTTGACTGTTTAACTGTTGAGTGTGGTCTTAGCTGTCGCCTACCAAATCAATACTAATTCGTGACGTAAATAATCATCGCACTTAACTAGCTGCTCCGTTCGGCAGCTGCGAAGTCTACAACTAATCAATCTGCTTTGTAACTACAGGCGTTGGGTTCTATTACACTGCGGGTTTTCGACTCATACATTAACCGTAGTAAAAGATGCCTAATCTAGCACGATCACCACCACTTAACAAATCACATAGCATGTCTGATTCTGACGTCGCAAAATCGAGCAATCCCTTACTTGATGAATCTAAAATTATGCAGAGAGATAGTAAGCGGCGGCGATTATCAGATACGGTTACGGAAATTGAACATGATAATATTCGAACAATCATTCGAGAGGAGCTTCGTGATATGTTATGTTCTCTCCAAACTCAGCAAAATACACGATTGGATGCCTTTGAGCAGCATTTTTCAGAAATAAAGGGCCAAGAGGGCGATATAAAGAAAATAAATGCATTACTCTTAGAAATCAAAAATACCAACATAAGCATTGAAGGTACAATGTCCTTCCTTGCGTCACAAAATGATGACCTGAAAAATAAAATAGAACACCTGGAAATGCAAAACAAAAAGAATATTGAACATATAACAATTCTGGAGGAAAAACTTGAAGATATTCAACGGGAGAAACGCAAGGCTAACATAGAAATAAAGAATGTACCCAAAATGACAGAAGAAACCAGAGAAACCTTGGTAGAAATGGTGACAAATCTATCAAAGACTTTAGGATGCAAGCTCGATGAAGGACATATCACAGACATCTACAGGTTAAAAGCTAAAAGAGGAACAAATGGAAACTCGCCAATTATAGTCGAAACCTCATCGTCAATGTTAAAAACGGAACTTTTGACACTATGTAAGGCATTTAATCGTAAAACTAAACCAAAGCTATGTGCAAAACACCTTGGTCTTAAAAAAAGCGAAGACACACCTATATTCGTTTCGGAACACCTGACCATCAAGGGCACTCGATTATTCTTTTTAGCACGGGAACTCGCCAAAACTAACACCTTCAAATATTGCTGGACTGCGTATGGACGGGTGTACCTGCGAGAGCACGACACGTCCCCCATAATTACTGTGAAAAGTGAATCCCAAATAAACGGCC